CTTCAGTTATAAGACAATGATAGCAGGTCAAAAACCTAAAATTTATACTCTGCCTGAAACCTTACCAAGAGTTAATATAGTTTCAGTCACAGAATGTTCTGAACAGCCTTCGACTGGCTCTCTGGGCACATGATCTTATAATTACTAAGTACAAAGCTGTTGCAGGAATGCACTGCAGAAGCAATTTCTCTACACACATTTAGTTCAAAAGGTGAAATGCTAATTTAAGTTTGTGTTAAGAAACACTCTTCTCAGAAGATATACTTGACTATTTTATGTAAATAATTAGGAGCCCTGGATGGTGTTAAGTGCCACTGAATGGATTCTAGTTCATAACGATCCTGTATAGTGTTTCTGAGAAGCAGCTGATGGGTTTGAACCTTGTGGTTTGCAGTCCACTGCTGATCCTACAGCACTAACACCAGGATTGTCATGAACATATGTTGTTGCTAAGTGCTGTCAAGTTGTTTCTGACCCATAGTGACACCGTACAGGGTTTCTGAGGAGCAGCTGGTGAGCTTGAACCAGGAGTCCCGGTAGCATAGTGGACTGCAAGCTGGGCTGCTAACAGCAAGGTAAGTAGTTCAAATCTACCAGTCACTCTGCAGGAGAAAGATGAGGCTTTCTGCGCCCATAAAGATCTACAGCCAAACCCTATACAGAGTTGCTATGAGTCCAAACAGACACAGTAGCACACAACCACCATTACCACCACCTCAAAATAGGTACTTCGCTAGTCTTGGTTACAGCTGATTTCTTCATTTCTCAGGCAAGCTGAGTTAAAAATTTAAAGTTAATGGTAAATCAATACCACAGTGATGAAAATTCCTTAAAAAGTAATTTTCAATAGACTTGTATTTTCAATATCGTTGTTGTTGTTAAATGACTTCAAATTGGTTCCAACTCATAGCAACCACATATAGGGTTTCCGAGGAATAGCTAGTGAGTTTGAACTGTTGACCTTGCAGTTCAAACCGACCTTGAGGTTGAGTGCTTATCCTATAGTGTCACACCAGGACTCTAGTATATTTCCAATACAGTACAAAAAATTAAAAACAAAACAAACTAAAGTAAAATCTAGTAGAAAGGAATTTTAAAAAAAGGATTTATAGTTCATTTTACCCCCCACCCTCCCACCCCACCCCCTGCCTTTATATTTTTTTCCAAGATATTTGTCATTCTTGACCAGGATGAGAACAGCAATTACTAAGTTAGGAGTAAAGTCACTTCCATAATTGCTACTAACCCCAATACTTTGGACTTTAGATATAAGAATCACTAAACATACTGTTTTTCAGAGCTTCACAAGTAGCGTAGTGGTTACAAATCGGGCTGCGAACGGCAAGGTCAGCGGTTCGAAACTACCAGCTGTTTCGTGGGAGAAAGATGAGGCTTTCTGCTCCCGTAAAGATTTACAGCCTCGGAAACCCTGTACAGGATCACTATGAGTCAGAACACCGACTCCACGGCACATAACAACAGCATTTAATAACAGTAACAACAAAGCTATACTATAGGATCTCTGGTGGCACTGTAGGGTAGGCACTGGACTGCTAACCACAGGGTTAGAAGTTCAAATTCATCAACTGCTAGACAGGAGAAAGATGAGGCTATCTGCTCCTGTAAAGATGTACAGCCTCAGAAACCTGATGGCTTTGAGCTACAATCACCTCCATGGCAGTGGGTTTGGTTTTTGGTGAATTTATAGTTTTTCTCTTGAAAAACTTTCATCACAGGGAAGTTTTGATATATTTACATTTATTTTGTATTTCTTTCCAAAAGAAAATGAGATGAAATTTAAAACAAAAAAGCGGTTTTTATCTTTTTTTTTTTTTTATTTAGCAGTACTGTACATGGGTAGTATCTTACTTAATACAATCAATCCAGATGATAGGTAATATTATTCCTGTCTTACAAGTAAGGAATCAGAAATGAAAAGAAACTGGCAGATAGTTGTGGAGCCAGGGTTTGAATTTAGATTACAAAAGGTCCTTTTACAGACTCTACTTATCAGGAACAAGGAGGATGGGGGTAGGGATATGAAATGGAACTACAGATGTATACCACAAACAACACCATAGCTGCTAGAAGACTGTAAAACTAAGTATTGTTCAAAAGCAGGAATTTCATTCACCTCTCCATCTATGGGGGAAACAAACAAACCGGTAGCCAGTGAGTCAATTTTAAATCATGCCAATACCGTGTCAATTCGTCAAAACAAAAACTGACATGGGCAGAAAACAAAAATCAATGGTTGGAAATCTTCACTTACAAATTCACCTTTTGTGAATAAGTACAATATCCAAAGAAAAAAGTGGGCAAGAAAAAGTACAAGATATAAACTTAAGACAGAAAGTGGAATTTTTTTTTTTTTAAGTATAAGCTACAAGCTTAAACATATCAATTATGTGGGAGTTCAATCTATTTGGAAGCTTAAATAAAAATATTATCTCTTGATATATATAGAAAGCTTCCTCAAACCCTACATAGGGTCGTTATAAGTCCAAAACAAATCAACAGCACTTAGCAACAGCTACAACTTACAGAAATAAATTCTATTAAAAAAAAAAAAAAAGTTATGTAAAGACCTTGGACAACATGATTCCATTTGTTCAAAAGAACACTGCTGTTGTTAAATGCTGTCAAGTCGGTTCCAACTCATTTGTTATGTTGTTAGGTGCCACTGAGCTGGTACTGACTCATAGTGACATATGCACAACAGAAGGAAACACTGCCTGATGTTGGGTCAACCTCACAATCATTGTTACTTTGAGCCTATTGATGCTGCCACTGTGCCAATCCATCTCACTGGGGTCTTCCTCTTTTTCTTTGACCCTCCACTTTACCAGACATGATATCCTTCTCCAGGGAATGGTCCCTCCTGACAATATGTCCAAAGTATGAGAGATGAAGCCTGGTCATCCTGGCTTCCAAGGAGCACCCTGGCTTTACTTCTTCCAACAAAGATTAATTCTTTTGGCAGCCCATGGCACTTTCAATATTCTTCTCCAACACCCTAACTCAAATGCATCAATTCTTCTACGGTCTTCCTTATTCATTGTCCAACTTTCACATGCATATGTGGTTATTGAAAATACCATGGCTTGCATCAGGCACACCTTCGACCTAAAACGGAAATCCTTGCTCTTCAACACTTTAAAGAGATTTTGTGCAGATTTGCCCAGTGCAATACATCATTTGATTTCTTGACTACTGCTTGAGTACTGATGCTTGATACAAGCAAAATGAAGTCAGTGACAATTTCAATCTTTTCTCCATTTATATGGATGTTATTTATTGGTCCAACTCATAGTGACCCTGTACAGGGTTTCCAAAAAGTGGTTGGTAGGTTTGAACTACTGACCTTGTGGTTAGCAGCACAGTGCTTATTCTACAGTTTCACAACAGGAGTTCACTAACCTTATTTTAAAACACTACTTTAACTTAATATTTCTCTATCCCAAAATAAGCTGTATAATTTGAAGAATGCCCTATTAGTTTGTTGTTAAGTGCCATCAAATTGGTTCTGATTCATAGCGACCCTGAAGAGGGTTTACCGGTAGTTGCTAGTGAGCCTGAACCACCGACCTTGTGGTTCAAACTGACCCTACAGTCCAGTGCATTATCCTGCAGCGCCATGCCAGGACTCTGCCCTATTAGTAGTAAGACTGACAAAATTCTTCCTGCTTCAGTGCATTTTTGGGGCACCATTATGTGTGGCACGGTGGGCTAATGTGCCAGACTGCAAAGCTGTCTGAACTACAAGGTTGGCGGTTCAAGCTCACCAGCTGCTCCTCGGAAACCCTATACAGGGTTGCTATGAGTCGGGATCGACTCGACTGCACTTAACAACAACAAACTATTATTACGGAGTCCCTGGTGTGGTGCTGCAGGATAATGCACTGGACTGTAATATCGGTTTGAATTGCAAAGTTGGTGGTTAAACTCAGGAGCTGCTCATCCAAAACCCTATAGAGAGTCGCTATTGGTTGGAACCAACTTGACAGCCCTTAACAACGTTTTATTATTATGTTCAATAAAATCTCATAAAGTATGTTTTTTTAAAGGTCTACAAAATCACTGTTAAAGTAAAAAAATATAACGCTTTTTTTCATGGATTTTAAATGGAGTATTTTATCAAGAAAACGTGAAAATTAGACTATTTAGTCTGTAAGATACAAAAAGTGACTAAGAAAGCCTTGGATTTAAAGTACATAACATGGAGATACTGAAATAATGTCAGTGGTTATGAAAACAATGGACAGAATTCAGAAAGCTGTCCATGACCACACAATCAGAAACTCTGTATACAGTTGAACATATGGATGTTATTATTTCTTGAATGGGGGGGGGGGGATCCCTTTATACATAATAAAGACAGAAACGACTTAGTGAGAAGTACGGTCCTGCACTGACGCTTGAGCCTTGATGTCTTGTTTCTGAAAACCAACATTTTACTTCCAAGAATCATTCTTTCATTCTTAACGCAGTTACCATCGGTTTAGCCCAAAGGCAATCTCTATTTTAAAAACCGCTTTGTCATCACAACCACCTCTGTACAAATACTAGGCGCATTCCCCCCATTCGCCTAAAACATTCTACATTTTAAACATTAACAACATTCAGATTGTTTTCCACGCACTTTCAAGGAAGGAACTGAATTCGACGAATTTCTGGGCATTCTAATGTGCTACTACTGCTAGTCCATATGTCAAATGCTGGAATGCCATGAACTGCCCAGAACTCCAGACGACCCCAATCAAACCTGGGGCGTGGATTCCCGAAGCCACGTTTCCCTTAGCGCCAGTAAGTCCAGCTGGGGGTGTGAGGCCCTGGAATGGCCTGGCTGAGTCTAGGCTGGAAGTCGGAAATTGAGACGCAGGCCTGCGGGCCCCCTCGACAGGGTGTGGAAGGCCCAAGGGACAGACAGACCGGGAGAGGGGCCGCCGCTGCCCTCCCCACCCAGCCCAGTGCCCCATTTCTCGCCTTCCCTCTCTTACCTTTTCGCACAGTGTCCGCACTTGGTTCTCGTTCAGTTGTTTACACTCATTCAGCTGCTCGACCCACTGGTCCAGCTCCTTGGTGAACACCTTGTCCTCCATGGCGGCACGATCCCCTTCCCTGTCGATTCCCGCCCCCCCCCCACCCACCCCTACCCGGAGCGCGGCTCCCTTTTTCCACTGCCGACACCACCGCCAGTTCCCGGCGGGAGAAGAAGGAGGCTGGCTGCGCAGCTGCGGGCCACGCGGCCCGCCTAAACCTCGCGGGCAGCTCTGTGTGCACGGCCTCGGGAAGACCCCCGCCCGCCTTTCCCCGCTCCTTGGTTGCGAACCCTGGGAGTCGGTAAAGGGTGCGGGGAGCTGGGGAAAAGTGCGACGTGGGTTTCCCGGGCAGCTCTCACCAGACGATGGCCACTAACTACCGCCAGCTCCCACCCGTGGGCCTCTCTCTGTTGGGTCGCCCCTTCTATCTCGTTCTTTCTCTCCCCTCCCTCTTGGTTTCCGTCATCACTTGGGCATTTCCGCTGTGAAAGGGAGCAGGCGCGGAGTCGAGGTACAAGAATAGGAGGAGGAAAGCAGCGCCCTCGTGTAGATCGGAGGAGAAACGGCCTGGAGGACCAAAGTCACATGTCTCTTCTCTTCTAGGAATGCGGTGGTTAAGCGCTCAGTGGCTAACAAAAAGTTTGGCGGTTCAGACTCACCAGCCACCCCCATATACTTCCTTCTTATTCTTCTTTCACTTCCTGTTATCACGGAACTTTGGTATTAGCCTGGTGTGGCGCTGTAGGATCAGCACTGGACTGTGAACGAAAATGTCAGCGGTTCAAACCCACCAGCCACTCTCCAGAAACCTGATACAGAGTCACTATAAGTCGGATCGGACTCAACGGCATTTAACAAGAATAACAACACATGGGATAAGCACTAGACTGTGAACCACAAGATCGGGGGTTTGAGCCCACCAGATGCTCTGAGAGAAAAAAAGATGAGGCTTAATTCTCCTTCGGTGCTTTTCAGAGCTTTTGAATAGGGAATTGAAAACCTTGGACAACATCGTCTCTTTGGAGGCAAACACTTTCCCATAGTAGGCATTCAGTAAATATTTATCGAATGAATAAATAAATCATTTCAAGTCTTGTTTCAGCCACAAACTAGCTGTGGAGTCCTGACGGTTTATATCCTTCCTTTCAGCATCACACAGATGAGACAATTGTTCTGATGTCAATCAATGTTCTAGGTCCCGCATTCTTTATCTTGATCAAACCAGTGTTTACTGAGTTATAAGAATTTGTTCATTCAATATGTACTTATCAAACAGCTGCTAAAGGCCAGATACTGTGCAAAGCAGATGCTGAAGACCATACTTCCTCTACTAAAGATACTGCATTGTTGTTGTTGCTAATTAAGTACCATCGAGTTGGTTCTGACCCATAGCAACCCTGTCTAGATTTCCCAAGCTCTCCGGTGAGCTTGAACTGCATACTTTACAGTTCAAACCGACTTTGCAGTCCAGCATATTAATCCACAGAGCCACACCAGGACTCCAGGGATACTGCATTGTTGTTGTTGTTAAGTGCCGTCGAGTCGGTTCTGACCCATAGCGACCCTGTACAGGGTTTCCGAGGGTGTAAATCTTTACGGGAGTAGAAAGCCTCATCTTTCTCCCACAGAGCAGCTGGTAGTTTCGAACTGCTGACCTTAAGGTTTGCATCCCGATTCGTAACCACTACGCTACCAGAGCTCCTTAGGGTACGGCATACTGCAGCTAAATCCAAGTGGGAGGTACATTCAGCATCTGAAGCCAAGGATTCCAATCTAGTCTTTGCCAACTTCAAAGCTGTGACCGTAACCACTCACCAAACCTCCCTCAAGCCTCAGATTCTTCATCTGTTAAAAGGATTTACTACATCTGTAGTAAGGCCTACAGTTTAAGCTGAAATAGCCTGTCCAGTAGTACTAGACAACTTATTAGTTGTGTTATTCCTCCTATTGAACAGTAGCAGAAAGCTTTAGAAAGGTAACATGGAAACTGAATTTTGAGTCTTCCTTGAGGTTGCCTGAAGAAAAGGAATGCAAATCGGAGGATTTTTTTTTTTTTGGTGTGCCTGAGGACAAATGTGAAAAGCTACTGTTTGTTTGAAAAGCTATAAATATTTGAAGCAACTGCAACAGGTCATAGTGGGAAATGACCCTGATAAATTTTCTACTCTCAAGCTACTTAATAGTATCAAACCAACTGAAGAGCAAAACATGATGCAACAATACTGAATAGAAGGGTGCCTGTATATATGTAGTAGGACTTATTAGTACAGTGCCATGGAGTCAGTTCCAACTCATAGCAATCTTGTACAGTGTTTCCCAAGAGGAACTGATGGGTTTGAACCACTGACCATGTGGTTAGCAGTCTAGTGCTTATCTTACACCGTCATGTATATATGCAACAGATATGCAATTTCTGAGAATATAAAGGTTTGAAAAACAAAAAAGCAAACCTATTGCTGCAAAATTGATTCCAACTCATAGTAATCCTATGGTGTTAAGTGCTGTGGATAGTGAGTTCGGACTCATGTGACCCTGTTGTTAGGGTAAGCGTGGTGTGCTGTGGAGTCGGTTCCAACTCATAGCAACCCTATACAGGGTTTCCAAAGCTATAAATCTTTACGGGAGCAGAAAGCCTCATCTTTCTCCTGCAGAACAGCTGGTAGTTTCCAACTGCTGACCTTGAGATTAACAGCCCAATTTGTAACCACTCCGCTACCAGAGCTCCTTTAGGGTAAGGGAGCAGGAGGGAATTTACTGAGGAAAATGACTGGAGCAGCAGAAAAACGGCATTGGGGAAAGGTCAATTTTGTTGTTAAGTATGGTGGAGTCAGTTCTTACTCAGCAACTCTGGATAGGGTCTCTGAAGAGTGACTGGAGAGTTTGAACCACCAACCTTGTGGCTAACCATAAAAACCTCTAAATACAAAGAACAGAGGGGCAAGATGTGAACAAGAGACAGAATCTATCTTCTTGTCAAGTGGGCAGGATATAAACAAGAAAAAAAAAATCTCTTTGTCAGGCAGCAGGACACAAACGAGACAAAATGGTCAAAACAAAACAAAACAAAAAATAGCACAGAAACTATCTCCTTGTGCATCTGGAACCCAGTGAGGCTTGTAAGCTCTCTATCCCTATTCAGCTACCCAGCGGGGTTTGTTAACCATCAGCACCTATTAACCTCTCTGTTAACCAGTTATGTCAAGTATCCCAGAGGCCTCTACAAAGGAATCCATCTTGAAATCTTAGACTCCATCATGGATGCCAGATGTGTGTGCAGCATGGGAAGAAAGAAGGATGGAAGTGACATATGAGAGCGGAACAATGCAAACAGGAAAACCTTTTTGAAATTGAGAGAACCGCATTTGCAGCTTGACCTCTGACTATACTTATACCTTAGACTGTGAATACGAGGAGCTGCTACTGCCTATGGCACATCTCCCCTGCAAGTATTCTTTTTCCATGTTCTAATATTTGGTAGCGTAGTGGTTACGAATCGGG